GGAGGGCGGCGTTTTCCTAATGGAGGTTTTAGAAGTTTTGAGACGTTGTCTATGGATATTTTTCAGATTTGAAAATGCATGGATTGAAAAATTTGTAATAGGGGAAAAAGGAGGAGGTGCAGGAATTTATGGACCGTTAAATTCAGCCGCTAAAACTAGTATGATAGAATTAAATAGTTTTGACGAAGATGGTATTAATAATAAAGAGTCAAGAGACGAGGTAATTATAGATTATTAAATAGTTGATTATTTATTAATTTTTATTTATTTAATTTAATCAACCAATTAAAACCTTTAGGAAATATTAGAATAAATAAATTTTGTATTTTAAATTTAATTTCATAAATAATATAATAGATGTAATTATTATTTCCATAGTCAATAATACTATATTTATAAATATAAACATATAAATAAATATTGTATACATACATAATGAAGGAAAAAAAGGCTGTCTTCGGTTAATTTATTAATTAGTTAATTTTGTTTATTTCTTTATAAGAGCAACAAGAAGACAAAAATAATGAAAAAGAGTTTATTTTGATTGATCTTACTGTTATTATTATAATTATCATTATTATGTTTGAGATGTTTGAGATAAGAACTAAACTGAAGAATTTCACCAAATTCGTATACACATGCATGCATGCATGTATGTATGTATGTATGTATGTATGTATGTATGCGATCCTTTTTTATTAAATTTAAATCTGATAGTAATTACCGCGAGTAAAAATACTCGGATACTTTACAAAGCTGTGATGGTAGGTTTATAAACCAAGGGTAGAGAGAGGTACTTTATTAAACACGCAAACATATGTCTGGGTTAGGCGCATATATGTGACAAATCATCAAAGCAAAATCCAAATTACATTATTTGACTTTCGCATTGTTGTAAATATGCAAGCTCGTTTCATTAATGGGGTTTCATATTAGACAATATTTAAGCTTTCGGACTTTTAAATCCGGCGGTTATTTTCCTATTTGTCATTCTGGAGAAATCTATCCGTCCTCGATTATGGAGATTACATAACGCACACTCAAAATCAACTTATGTTTTCGTTTTCATATTAATAAATTAAATACACATGATCAAAAATACTCCACAGTTGGCTTGCATTGGTATTGACCGGGTCAGCCATGAGGAGGAGAAGAATCAGCCAACAGATGAGAATAAATAGTGTTCAAATGATGGAGACCGATGTTGAAGTAATTAAGATGACTTGCATTACATATTCTTTGATCAACTGGATTTTTTAAGGTGCTATTAATTAATTAATATGGTAATTGGGCGGCAAAAAACATCCAATTTCCAATTTTTATTTTTAAGCACAATAAGGAAGGTGTTGCGGTATTGTAATAGCATTTTTAGCAATAATCTATTTAAATTTTCGCCCGAACAATAATATCCGGATGAAAACATTTGGTTTTGATTAGGAAATTTTGAATTAATTTTCTTAACGCCAACCAAGTCTCATTTGGCAAGCAAAAATATCTCTTTCCGTCTCTGAAATTTTGTGCATTTTAATTTGAGTAATTCTCAATGATAACTTCTCGGACCAGGAGTACATGAAATTACAAAATTACGTCGATCAACATTAATCAATTATCCATTCTTTTGAATATTAATTATTGTCATAGGTTAGGTTATTAATTACATGCGAATATGATTGGTTCTAATTATAGACAAAAATGTCTAAATGTCTAAATGTCTAAATTAATATAAATAGTAATGATTTGCTTTAAATACAACTAAAAGTCACGTGATATTCGCAAAATCCACAAAATTCAGTAAACTATCCAAGAAAAAATTCAATTCAGCATTTTAGACAATTGAGACCATGATTGTCTAAAATGTCTAAAATAATTTATATTTTAGACATTGTCTAAATAATTTAGATTAGATACCCATCTATAGTTCTAATAAACATGTAACAGAAACTCATTTCAGAAGCGTGTTGTAACTGTGGGCTATTCATTAATGAGCCCAAAAGAAAATTTCTCGGCCTTTCAGAACTCTTTCTAAATCGGAATAAGATATCTTATTAATGACCCAGCTGATAGCAGATGCCTCAAGAAGAAAACTCGTATGTCAACAAGGGAACTATTTGTTATTGCTGAAATCACACAATGCACCACTTTATAAAAATAAAAAAATATATTGCAGGGGAATAAGTTGAAAATATTAATAATCATATTGATGTCTATACAAAGCAATAAAGAGAAAAAGGATAATATCATGATTACCTTACCACCTTCTCTTCTAGGATCTTTGTGATTATGCATTGGGTAGAAAAAATGTAATCCACAAAGATTCCACATAATGAAAAGGCATGGAAGATAACGATCCTTTTACAATCTTATTACAAAATTTTTACAATGGTATTACAAATACTAGTGAAATATTATGGAAGTTATTGTAAAAATATTGTAAAACGGTTGTTATGCTCAATGCCTTTTCATTATGTGGATTTTTGTGAATTACATTTTTTCTACCAGCGATGGTGGAAAAGGCTTTCGTTGAACACATCACATTTAAAGATCTTTTGGAGAATTCTTTCTAAGGAACAAAAAACGTCATGAATTTTCTTGAATTCTTTCTCCTTGTCAGGTATCAACGATCTCCTCAGCAATTAATCTCCTGAACTAACCAAAGCTAGAAAAATATTTAATGTTTTTTAGTGGCAGTTCTTTATATAGGAATATATAATGATATATAATCGAACCAGTAGTTTTATGAACCGATACGAACCGATTCAATCCCTAATTAATATTAATTAATACCCAGATTGGATCTTTGTGGCACTATGCTCACTTTTTTCCTTATATCAAGTATTTTGCATAAAGAAGTTTTATTGACATTATTGAGAAACCAAGAGCCAACTACACAGTTTTCATGTTCTCGGCAAGTATAAAATAAGTATTAAAATAAAAAATGGTCTAATATGTTGGGATCATGAAAGAATACGGGGAATATTTACTGTGTTGACGTTCGATGCCATTATATTTACATGATAACATTAGTTTGGATCATATACTCATGATTGGGTTAGTTTCTCTTCTTGCGTTTCTTTTATTATTAAGCCGTTCGATTACCATGGTCTAATCATTATTATCAACTCAGGGTTACATTTTTTAAAATTGTTTTATTTTTATTCTTGGTTTTAGAATGAAAAAGATAGTAGCAGGGTACTTTCCTTTCGAACAGAAATATCATGGATTCAAGGAGGATTATTAACACTAGTTAACAGAGGTAAGTGAATACAAAAAATATATATTTATAATAAATCTTTGTTTCAATGAAAATTTTAAATATCTTTTCACGTGATATAATCAAGAGTATTATTAACTTGATGCAAAAAATTATCAATCCAACGAAAATCGTAAAAGAGTTACATAGTTTCAAGAAATTAATAACTAAAGCCGCATGTAATTTAATACAAATTGTTTTAGATCAGCTAATTAAATATTTGGTAATGTATTTTGTTTTCTAATTCCATACTGATTTCAATGCTATCAACTAATAATAATATTAAATATTCTTTTGACATGATAAGATTCTAAGTTACTAAAATTAAATAAAAACGGAAAGAATTGATGGGAACTTGCTGCGGAAACAATATTCTCTGTATTTTTCAAATGCAAGCAAAAAAAAAAATAATACATATCAATAATCTTTAGAGTTTCTTTCTTATCTGCACAAAAAAAATTTGTGGTAGGACAAAAATACAACTTTTCGTGCAAAGTTGTATGATTGGCCATTCTCCCCACTGATTACTATGTCAATCATTCACTAATTATAGGCGAATCATCTCTTTGCATCTTCTATTTTACCACAGATCTTTCAAATTTCCAGAGTGGAAGATCTAGAAATCCTCTTAATCCAAATGATTTTCTAGACGACATGAATAATTTAATATTAAAAATCATGAGATAATTTTAAATCATTTCTGACGCAGTAATTTTTCAAGGAGATGATGACAATTTTAAATGCAAAGAATTTAACTTGGAAGACGATGATTTTCAGTTTTTGGAAAGCTTTAACAAATAATTCCTCTTGGATTACTATTGGACTCTTTTTGACGACCAACGTTGATTTTAAATACGTATGTATGTTTCTTTCAGCTCGCTTGTATATTTTTGGATTATTCTTGAGTCTTCTGATAATGACGATGATGATATTTTGTTATTAAATATGACCGTGACGTATCCTCATGATAATGTTGGCAAAGAATTCAAATCATACATGTTGATTTGTGAGGCAAAGAAGCCAAATACTGGTCAAGGATAGAAAGAATACGAAGGAGTTAAAAAACGATTGTTATAATAACATAGTAATCTATTATTTAAAAAGAGCAAATTTTTAAAGAATTAAAGTGTATGAGCTACAGTTATAAGGTAACATTATTATTATTAATATCAACGTTAATTATATATATTGTCAATAATATTTATCTTTTCTCGAAAAAATATCCGGAAGGGTAATCTTATTGAAGCATGATCATCTGTACGAAAAGATTTGTAAGGTTCGAAGTAATTATTCAACTAAAGATAAGCGCTTTTTTTTTGGTTCTTATCTTGCGGATAAAAAGTAAATACTTTTAATAATGATATGTTGTATTTATGTTTTAATTGAAATTACGGAGATTGGAAAAGAGATTGGGAATCTAGAAAGAACATTGATGTGAAAAGTTTTTTAAAAAATTAATTGCAGAAACTTCTCCCATTCTGCAATAAAGTCGATAAAGAAAAATTTAAATATTAAATGATGATGATAAAAAAATAGTTAAATTTTTGATTTTGGATATTATAATATACATAATATGCGTGATATAATAACCAATTCATACTTTACTGCCAAGAATAAAATGAACAAGGAACAGAGCTAAATTGGAAAATTTTTTGAAAATTTTGTTTCTTCAATTTTCCCTTTCCTTATTTTCCTTCATACCTTAAGATCTCTCTTTCCCGACCACATCCTTTGTTGCAGTATACCCAAATTAGAACTTGAATTTTTTAACGTTGAAGGATTTGTTACAACCAACATTAATACTAACATCAATATTGATACCAATAATAAAGATGATGATGTTAGGAGAAATGATGATAACGTCACATTTATTGTATTTTATTATTATATTGCATTAATAATATTGTAGTTAATATTACATGACAATTTGAAAAATTTTTTTGCGATATGTAGTTTAAAAAAAAAATAGTTGGCTATCTCGAAAAATATTTTATGTGTGTGTATGTGTGCGCGCGCATATAAATGTGAGAAATATATTATTTGCGTGTTGACGATGAAATTCA